CAGGTTCAGCGGTATTCTCGAGACTTCGGTGGCAGTCCGAGACGCACCTGTCTTGCGCGAGGAGATTGCTGTCCTCCTGGCAAAGGATGCAATCTAGCCAGTCCCTCCAGCCGAGATGAAGCAGGGGTTTTACAGCCCTTACTTCATCGTACCCAAAAAGGGCGGTGGCCTCCGGTCAATCCTGGATCTGCGAGTCTTGAATCGGGCCCTTCACAAGCTTCCGTTCAAGATGTTGACGCAGAAGCGCATCATCAGATGCATGCAGTCCCAGGATTGGTTTGCAGCGGTCGACCTGAAGGATGCTTACTTTCATGTCTCGATTCTCCCTCGACACAGGCTGTTCCTACGGTTTGCGTTCGAGGGTCGGGCATGGTAGTACAGGGTCCTCCCCTTCGGGCTGTCCCTGTCCCCCTGCGTCTTTACGAAGGTTGCAGAGGGCGCCCTTGCCCCGTTACGAGAATTGGGCATCAGGATCCTCAACTATATCGACGACTGGCTCATTATGGCCAGGTCGCGAGAACAGTTGTGCGATCACAGGGACCTAGTGCTCCGGCACCTCAGCCAGTTAGGGCTTCGGGTCAACTGGGAAAAGAGCAAGCTCTCCCCTGTGCAGAGAATCTCTTTTCTCGGTGTGGAGTTAGACTCGGTGAGTATGACGGCGCGACTCACCAACGAGCGTGCCCAGTCAGTGCTGGACTGCCTGAGTTCCTTCAGAGGCACGACGGTGGTACCACTGAAACACTGAAAAGTTGGTCCATACAGACAACACTGCGGCGGTTTCGTACATCAACCGGCAGGGAGGTCTACAATCACGTCGCATGTCACAGCTCACCCGCCATCTCCTCCTCTGGAGTCAGACATGGCTCGAGTCGCTGCGCGCCGTCCACATCCCAGGGGAGCTCAATCGTGCAGTTCCCTGAAGAATGATGAATCCATCCCGAGACGATCCAGCTGATCTGGAGTCGATTCGGGGAAGCCCAGGTGGACCTGTTTGCTTCCCACGAGTCCTCCTACTGCCAGTTGTAATACTCCGTGACCGAGGCTCCCCTCGGCACGGACACACTGGCACACAGCTGGCCTCGGGCTCATCGCAAGTATGCATTTCCCCCAGTGAGCCTTCTCGCACAGACACTGTGCAAGGTCAGAGAGAACGAGGAGCCTTTCTGGCCCACCAGGACCTGGTTTCTGGAACTCATGCTCCTTGCGACAGCCCCTCACTGACGTATCCCCATGAGACAGGACCTGCTCTCTCAGGGTCTCGGCACCATTTGGCACCTGCGTCCAGACCTTTGGAACCTCCACATGTGGGTCCTGGACGGGACGTGGCAGACCTAGCTGATCTGTCACCTGCAGTGGTTAACACGATAACTCAGGCTAGAGCTCCCTCCAAGACGCAAGCCTATGCTCTGAAATTGAGTCTGTTTGCAAACTGGTGTTCTTCTCTCCGAGAAAACCCCCGAAGATGCACGATTGGAGTAGTGCTTTCCTTCCTGCAAGAGAGGTTGAAGCATAGGCTGTCACCCTCCACCTTGAAAGTGTATGTGGCTGCCATCGCAGTACATCACGATGCAGTGGACGGCCAGTCCCTGGGAAAGCATGATCTCATCGTCAGGTTCCTGAGGGGTGCCAGAAGGTTAAATCCTCCTAGGCTCCCCCTGGTGCCCTCCTGGGACCTCTCTATCATCCTGGCAGGACTTCAGAGGGGTCCCTTTGAGCCGCTGGATTCAGTCGAGCTTAAGTTCCTGTCTGCTAAGACAGCGCTCCTGACCGCGCTCACTTCCATCAAGAGGGTCGGGGACCTCCAAGCATTTTCAGTGAGCGAAGAGTGCCTTGTGTTCTGGCCGGCCTACTCTCACGTTATCCGGAGACCCCGGCCTGGATATGTGCCCAAGGTTCCCACCACTCCCTTCCGAGATCAGGTGGTGAATCTGCAAGCACTGCCCTCGGAGGAGGCAGATCCAGCCCTTGCATTGCAGTGTCCCGTAAGAGCACTGCGCATATACGTGGACCGCACCTGGAGTTTTAGAAGCTCTGAGCAGTTCTTTGTCTGCTATGGAGGTCAGCAGAAAGGGAAGGCTGTCTCCAAGCAGAGGTTGGCCCACTGGATAGTGGATGCCATCGCCTTGGCGTACTAATCCCAAGGCGAGCCGTGCCCCCTGGGGGTGAGGGCTCACTCCACAAGAAGTGTTGCCTCCTCCTTTGCGCTGGCGCACAGCACCTCTCTGGCAGACATCTGTAGAGCTGTGGGCTGGGTGACATCGAACACCTTCGCGAGATTCTACAGTCTCCGCGCTGAGCCAGTTTCTTCCCCTGTGTTGGGTAACAGGTAATCGGCGGGAAGAGCTGGCCGGTATCACGCTTGCTGCGCTATTCCCCCTCACCCGGGGATGCGAGTGCCTTTCTCCTCCTCCAGTAAGTTCCCCGGACGGCGAACCCTGGTTGAGTATCCTCCAGCACCCCCGGCAGTCAGACTGGGCGGAGCAGTCTGACGCCAGGCCCAGTATCGTGTTACTTGCCCGGGTCTCCGTTCAGCCCCTGTACTGGGCTAGGTGTCCATATGGCTTGATTTCCTGTGGGCAATCCCATATGTGTATTCTTCCACGGTAAGGTTTTCCTCTCTGTAACCCGTGTCTTCCCTTTGACAGAGTGTTCTGTCAGTCTCTGCTGGCAGTTGCTCCATCCCTACTCTCAGGTAGGACCTGCCCCAGAGACCCATTCCATATGTAGTACTGCCCCAGGCCTGGGTCAGTCCATATGAGAATCTCCACACGTTACCTCCCTACGGGTAGGGTGTGGTCTCCGTAGCGCTCTTCTCCAGAAGGCTCGCTTCCCCATCATTCTGCCTAAGATGTAACAACAAATCAGAAAGACTTGAAGCAATTCTTTCGTTGAAGGTCGAAATCCTTTCTGTTAAGAAATTTCTGTGGGGACAGGAACATCGGTTTGGTTATCTCCAGCAGCGATGTATTCACCTGTGGTCCCTGCGGGTACCAAGGTCAGCGAATTGGCGCTGGGAAGGTTACGACCTTTGCATAGTGTTTGTCTGTCACACGGCCGCTTGCCAACATTGGCTACGTCATGGGGTTGTGACAGGGTTCAGGTTGTGACGCTTTCCAGGGCCCCATAATGTCATCACGACATAACTCGTAGTGACCGAAAGATAGGGAACATCTCAGTTACGTACGTAACCCTTGTTCCCTGATGGAGGGCTCCCAAGTGAACCCCCATAATGTCATCACGGCATAACGTCTCCGTTCCCTCCATCAGGGAACGAGAGTTACGTACGTAACCAAGACGTTCTATAATGACTCTCGGAAGACTTTAGCATGGTAATGGATACGGCAATGTTAATGTATTTGGTCTTGGCGGAATAGATCTGCTACGCTGCTGCTGTTATTGGTTATTGCTGTCGAAGTACAGGAACTTACTACTGCAAATACATACTCTGATTCACTGCTGGGAGTATTTAAGACATACTGCTGCTGCACAATTAGCATATATAATAACCCGTAGGAGATCTACTGTAGACAGGTGGAGCTGGGGAAGGTGGAGGGTTTCAGAGGAACTCTGAAAGCGCGCTGCAAAATGCTCAAGTGAACGCTAACTAGCCATTTAAATGTAAAGCAGCAAGCTCATTGGCTGCGTATGCAACATGAAACTGTGAATATCATCAGTTTCAATTATTAAGGACCCATCAGCCTGCGCCATCTAGAGTTTCATGACAGAAATTGGCATTTCCATGTTCAAAATCTGTTAGTATTGTGTAATTACAATATAATATACAACAATTCAATCTACACCTTTGTAAATGAAATGAAGATGTAAAAATGTCATTTAGAACAAGCATGACATCGAAATTATGACTTCTCAACTCATAAAAACAGACATTCCAGGAAGACCTGAATGTCATAAACAGCCAATGACCACTGACTTCAAATCATACACAAACGTTCTAAAAGTGGCAAATTTAAGGTTTTGAATACGTGCAAACGCAGGTGTGAGATTTGAGAGCAATGCTATTAGCTAATTCGCTATGGCATCAGCAAAATATGAATAGATTTTGGTCTGTTTCTCACACAAGGCTATAGTATGGCCTCCGAAAATGCATAATATAGCACACAAGTCATATAAGCTAGTTTTTATGGTGCTTTTGTGAAAACACGTCCAAGTCACTGTAAGCTTGTGTTGAAGTGTAAACACTCAAATGCTTTCTGTAACCAACACATTAATAACATCACAAAAGTGGAAAAAACAGTACAGCAATTAATCAGACATATCTGTGAGACTATATGGCTCACTAAAATGAAACAGCATCTTTCTGAAATGCTGTAAAGATGCTTCAGAAATGAGCTATATGTGCATGTTGAGGGTTTCTCAGCTGACCGTGTTGTGTTGTCTCTCGCTGGGTGTGTATTAATGAGCTTTTCCCTTCATCAATGACACTCAGGGTCGCGAGGCTGACGGCAAAGTTCACAGCCCTGTTTACAGCTCAGGCGAGAGATGCTCGGGGAAGAGGTGTCACCTCCACAATAATTAAAAAACGCAAGCGTTCACTGAGGGGGCTGTCCTTCAAACGCCTGCATGCTGTTCTGGGAGAAGACTGTTTGTATACTCTGCAAGGAAATGCTTTGAGAAAAAAAGCCTGAAATAGAGCTCAGTCCTCTTCCCAAAACACTGTGTGGTATGGTTTATTGATTTATGGTACTAGCGGTTCCTGCTGTGTCATATACAATACAGAGTGATGTAATACAATGTAACATAACCACATTTGATGATTTTGTATATACTGTTTGTAATGGTTTTTTTTTTCGTTTTATGTTACTTTGGATAACAGTGTCTGCTAATTAATAAATAAATAAATGCATTGCCGCCTAACTCATACATAAAGTACATAAAAATAATAATAGCAATTTTACATCATTTCTACTACTGGAGTAATTAAACCTCAAAATACCACATAAATAATTAGATACCATTGATTGATTGATCGATTGAAATACCATAACTGAAGATGCGGCGACGCTCCGAGTGTCTTCCTCAGGTCCCTCCTGTTCATCACTCTGTTCAACACATAAAAAGACAGTTAACTCAAAATGCAATAGTATTGTATCAATATTAGTAATATTTCAAAGGGCTCTTTTGTAAATCACATAGAGGTACTATGTAAAAAAAACTAACCTTCATAAAGCATGTCTATTGAAATTAAACTGTAAAAACGACTCATTCAGGAATATGTGTGGTTATGACATCACAACCATGAGCTCATTAACATATGATAACCCTAATTTGCATTTACATTTTGATAGGACAAGAGCAAAAATGGTCTGATTGATTATAAGGGTCAGGGTGGAAAATAGTCATGAAACGTATATGATAATTATGACTGTTTTTGGTGTAAAAAAACATTAGGGAAAATGACAGATAATTATGTGCTTGTACAGCTTGTATGATGCCACTCAAGTGCTCATCTCTCTGTGCCTCATTATGTGGAGCCTCCTGATGTTATGATGGACATCCAGACACTACAGGAAATGTGAGATAAATGGCAGATGAGCAATCGCTGGAGAATATAGCGGAAACATGGGATTTGACTTTCTCAAACTCACATTCTTTATTCATGACTATAATAAAGTTGAGTATTACTATAACTAACATTCTAAAATGTATTATTGCTGTTTGTTAGTAAAATATCACTATTGCTTAAGGTTAATGTGAACAAAAATATAATCAACCTAATCCCCCTTTTTTTCTACAAAGGTTTATGTCAATTTAGTTTGCATGAGGTCTGCACTTTTAAAGTACTGACTCTGAAATGTTGATCTTTCAATCCACTTTTGTACAATTTCATCACGATTTGTATAAAATTGTACGATTTATAGGAAAGGAAGTGACGTGTGGCCAATTATGGTAACCCATACTTGGAATTTGTGCTCTGCATTTAACCCATCCAAGTGCACACACACACACACACACACGGAGCAGTCGGGGGTTCGGTGCCTTGCTCAAGGGTCTCACCTCGTGGTATTGAAGGTGGAAAAGATCACTGGTCATTCACTCCCCCCACCTACAATCCCTGCCGGACCTGAGACTCAAACCTTCGGGTTACAAGTCCGACTCTCGAACCATTAGGCCACGACTGCCCTAAATATGATATTTACATTTACATTTAATCATTTGACTGTACATATGACGTTTACATTTACATTTATTCATTTAACATAAACTTTGAGTTAAAGCGAGGATGAACTGCATTTGCATTTCACAACTTTGACACATATTTGCAGGCCGACCAATAGCAAGCCTCTTGATTCCGCAGTGACGTTTGACTGACAAAGATTCGTAACTTAGCAAAAAACCAAAGCTCATTGTGCTGGTTTCTACTGTAACACTACATTTCAGTATTATAATGGTATTTTGTCACCTCCTTTCCTGCTTTGTTTTGCCTGTGAAATGTTGCATAGTGACGGTAAATGTGGCCCTTTAGGGGCGTTCACACAGAACACATTTTTGCATTATATTGCGCTATTTGCACAATATCCATTGTTTTCTATGTAAACACTCACTATATTAATTGTGTTAGCATCTTTTGCAGTGTCTTGCGCATGACATGGCATTCTAAAAATGTAGCATTCAAGTTAAAATTTTCATTTTAACGACAGAAAAACAGTGACGGCTTCCCTTGTGGTGGCACTGAGAAGGCAACACATTTGAGCTTATAAGCTGTTTTAACATTTGAACTCTGTTTTCACATATCTGTGTAGATTATAGTTTAGACAGTGCAGTTTGCGATGTCAGTGTAGTGTCCGTGTCAGCATTCAAAATACAAAACAACTGTGGTATTACACTGGTTTTGCCTTTTAAACTAAGGTGTCTTATTCTTTACAGTGTTTCTAGCATGTGATTAATATGACTTCAGGCATGAACAAAAAGAAAAGTAATTCTGTGATTAAAAGCCCAGAGCTAAACATGGGAATAGTACATTTTTATTCATAATCTATGAGATTTAGTGGGCCATTTGCATATCTAAATGATTTACATATGGTACAGAGACCCTCTAGTCATAAATAATTTAATATCACAACATTTCCTGAAGGAATAGCTCATCAGGGCCACATTTAACTTTAATTACTCTTTTAAAATCACAGTTATGATTCAATAACTCGCTCGCAAAAATAAATGTACCTCAACAGATTACTGAGACGGAAATAATAGCAGTGGACAAAAAACAGACAGAGGAATGGGGGAGGGAGAAAGAGAGAAGGATGGATAGAAGAGACGCCAATGAAGAAACACCATACATGTGTATGAGTGCGTGTTTTAGTAAAAAAAAACAAAAATCACTCACATCCATGCGTTACAGTGATTTTACAATGGGTGAGAAATTGTCTTAGGTACAGCAACACACACACACACACACACACAAAGAAGAAAACAACTTTATTCAACAATTTATTCTCTTGCATGTCAGTCTTTGACGCGCGTTCACGAGAGTATCTTGACGCATTCGTGAGGTGCTGCTGATGCAGGAGCCGGGGTACTGACGTAGAAAGCAGATGCGCTATATCTTGTTTCGAAGCAGAGGAATAACAATACGGTTAAACCACTGATGTCACATGGACTATTTTAACAATGTCCTTACTACCTTTCTGGGCCTTGAACATTTCAGTTGTGTTGCGGAGTCTATGCAGAGTCAGAAAGCTCTCAGATTTCATCAAAAATATCTTAATATGTGTTCTGAAGATGAACAAAGGTCTTACGGGTTTGGAATGACGTGAGGGTGAGAAATTAATGACAGAATTGTCATTTGTGGTTGAACTATCCCTTCAAACAGAATATATGTTCTGCTAATCAGGATTAGTTCACCCAAAAATGAAAATTCTATCATCATTTACTCACCCTCACATCGTTCCAAACCTGCAGGACTTTCATTTATCTTCAGGCACAAATTAAGTTAATAAAATCTGAAGATTTCTGTCTGGCCAATGATAGGTAATCAAAACTTTCAAGCTCCAAAAAGGCCATTATGGCATTGTAAATGAAGTCCATATGAATCCAGTGATTTAATCCAAATTTTAAACGTTGTGTAAATAAAAAATAATAATAATACTCGAAGGAATAAACCATAACTATTAAAAAAATTAAATACTTGAAGCTTGAAAAAGTCTACCATTACGAGCGTCACGTAACAACAAAACGACACCCCCGAAGCATCTGAGAGCGATAATCAGGTCCCCAAAAAGCAATGTGATTCATCTTATACTAATTAAAAACCTTGCACAGCAACATTAACATATTAATTGAGGTTCAAGCATAGGGCTGTTATGATGAGGAAATTCAAATGAGTCTTTCAGGAACAGAATAGAAATTGTGGAAACAGAGGGGTGAAGATAACACACACACACACACATACACACTGCTCTTGTACAAATGGCCTTATCTCCAACAGAGGCTCATATGTGTGTGATCTGACACATCACCCACTTCCATTATCAGACGGCATTTAGAAATGAAAAACCCATTTACTCCCATTTACATCCCGTCTGCCTGTGGGAGAAAGATCTCTTGCCCCACAATGTTCCCCGGCATTGTCAAAGTGACAGGACGGCGTGCAAGGTCACCCGAAACCTCTCACTGCGCTTGTTCGAAGAGGCAAGCAACAACAGTTTACTGGCTAGTCATTTAAGAAGGGCCATTTTCTCATTTGATAATGTGTTATCGCTTACATATATGTGTGCATTGAAGGAGGAGTGGCAAAACACTGATGTTTTAGTTAAGAGAAAATGACTTGGCTCCACCTGACACCAACAGTTTCATGGAGTCGTAGGTTTAGGCCATTGATCTGGAATATAAAGAAACATCGTAACTTCTTTCTACCAGGAGTGGCAGTGAGGTCAGGCTCGGATAAGCGTGAAATCACAGGATAAAGGAAGAATATCTGTTGTTTCAGCCTTGATTACTACCATGGCTGCCCTAATATTTTCTTTCAGCAGGATGTTAGTGGGGATGTCATTGCAATACAAGATGGTTTGCTTGTAAAGCCTGCTATACACTGTACGATTTTTTATTTATTTGGTTTTTTTTTAGAATTTCTTTAACATCTAGTCATTCCAGCGATTCATTGTTGACAAAGACGGTCATAAAATCTTTTTGAAAAACGTTTTGTAGTGGGTCCCTGGGTCTTTACATCACTGATTCTGCTGAGAATACTTACAGCATGTCTTTCTACGTTGTCACCATCTATAGATCGCTTACTGTGTGCCTGATTTATGAACAGTTAAAAAAATATTAAATATTATAGAATAATGTAAAATAAAATAAAATAGCAGCTCTCACACAGTGTTAAACGCCATACAATAAAAGTATTTTTTTAAGCTAGACTTAAAAACAGTAAGTGTTTGGGACTTTCTAACATGTAAAGGCAAATTATTCCAAAGTCTAGGGCCCGCCACTGCAAACGCACGGTCACTCCTGCTCTTCAGCCTTACACGAGGGACAGCTAACAATGAATGGTCAGCGGACCTAAGTCCCCTCGACGGAGCATATGGCTGTATTAAGTCTGAGAGGTATGTCGGTGCCAGACCATTTAATGATTTAAAAATGGACAGGAAGCCAGTGAAGAGAGGCCAAAATGGGAGTAATATGTTCCCGCTTTCGTGTTCCCGTTAACGAATTAGCTGCACCATTCTGAACCATCTGCAGTCCGGTGAGGGAGGCCTGACTAATGCCTACATTAAGTGCATTACAGTAGTCAAGACGGGAGGAAATAAAAATGTTTATAATTCTTTCAAAATCTTTAAAAGACAGAAAAGTTTTCATCTTAGAAAGTTGCCTCAGCTGGAAAAAACTAGATTTAATTACCAAATTAATCTGTTTATCCAGTTTAAAACCATTATCCATTAAAACACCCACGTTTTTTACAGAGGGCTTCAAAAATGGTTTTAAAATATCTAAATCCAGGTCAGGAGATAATTTCATTTCCATTTTGTATGTTGAAGTACTGAAATAACTCAAAATAAATAAAAGTAAAACTTAATAAAAAGCCTATATAGACGTAATAAAG